TCGAAAAAATTTGGATCCAGATGGAAAAGGGTTGGTGAAGAACAAAAATAGTAATACCTCCAATTTATTCTCTATAATTTTTTTTGCTTTTTATCTCAACATAAAGTTGAAAAATGTTATACTGCACAACCACATAAATTAATAAATGAAAGTGAAACACAGTATTTGTGCTTGTTGATCTAAATGTTAGAGTTATTTATATGGTTACATTAACAAACTTTTTTTTGTAATCATTTTTAAAGTACTATTTTCTTATGCTACATAATATATGAAATGATTGCAATTGCTTACTTTTTAAAACTTAGGTTATCTTATTGTTCTTATTATTAGTATTATTATTATTATTACACACCAAATAAATATAGGTACTACTGAAATAACTCATAGAAAACTTGATATTTATTTTCGGATATTAATTAAATTTTTAGTTAGAGTCTAGAAAAACTCAAAAAATTATGCAATGATACATTATATAATGGTTACATTGTAACCAGATGAATTATTTATATTTTTCTACTGCTAAAATACAGCTTTTATTGATACATATGACATGCTTACTAAAAATATTAATAATATGCTTTAAATATTGCATGTCATTTGAATTGACGCAGATTCAATGACTACAAGATACATACTTATGGCTACTAATATGCTTCATACTTACATTTTTTTATGATTTTATTGCAAAAAGTAAAATTGTACAAACTAAATAGATATTTTTAATTGGTATATTATGTAATTTTATCGGCATTATTTAACAAATTGGTAATCAATAACTAAATATACATCAGATCCTGTTAAAGAAATAAACCTAAATCTAAAAAGCAGTCTCTTTTCATACTAAGTTAAATTTAAAACTTAAAAGAAGTGCTTAAGAATATTGTTATTAATTGTTTTGTATGATTAATGCACTACTAAATTTGAAACTTCTTCAAATAAATCTATGAATATCTGTAATCTTATTATAAACTAAATACGTATTTCTTTTTTCTTTTTCTTTTTTTATTTTTTTTTTTTTTTTATGAGGAGCCACAAATAGTAAGAGGTATGTGAAAAAAATTTAAAAGCAAAATAATGCGAGACATTATGAAATCAAAAAGTTTTTTGACTGTGAGTAATCTATATGATAAATCTATTTAATTTGCTTCATAATCACAGTTGCTGTACTCATACTAAAGTATGTTGTGACTAAAATAATACAGGTTTATCTCATGCAATCTTATAAAATCCTGACAGTATGTATCTATCACAATGCAAAAAATGTTAATAGAATTTGTACATAAATATTTGTTTTCAAAGAGCACATATAAGTGGTGAACATATATTATTATTGTTATTAAAATATAATTTTATTTTTCAAATATTTCATTGCTAAGAAATGTACAAGCTATTTAATAAAATTTAATAAGATAACGAAGCAACAATTGTTGTTTGAATTTAAATTAATAATACATTCACCACTTACATTATTTTCCAATAATATTATATTTCATATACATACTCTAACCAGTTTGAAAATATTATTTCATAGAAATTTTATTACTTAATTAAAGTAAGTAAGCAATACATTGATCCTCAATATCACGAAAGAGAGTCACAAAAAGAGTCCCTCACAGCCCGCGTAAGACTTTCACTTGAGATCTTCAAGTCTTTCAAGACATATGCTGATATAGGACCAGAATTATGACGTAGGTTCTCTTTTAAAATTAAAAAGAAACTGACAATAAAAATAAAGATTAAAAATGTTTTCATGTAATTGGATGTGTTAAGTATGGTTCTGCAACAAAATATGCATCGGATGCAACACATTTTTCAATGCAACATTTTACATACATCGGTCATAAAGACTTCTGTATATGTTCTTAATTGATGTCAATGCTATTACAGAAGATTTATATATCAGTATAAAATAAGTGTTACAAAAGGAACTCTTAGAAAATTGTTTCATCTAGAAACGCATACTATGGTATATAAAAACTTTCAGATCTTAATAAAACAAGCATTCTGAAAGAATTAAAAAAGGTATGCTCGCTTGGATGTAATAATTCATCGTCGGATGTGTGTAGAATGTAACTCATGAAAATCTATATATTCGTTTTTGTATGCTGCCTCAATTTGTAATAAGTTATATAAGGATAAACATTTATTTTTGAAAATACTTTCCCTCAGTTAAATAAGAAGTATAAATTGCAAATTTCCATAACAAGTGATTTATGTAATTGATCATTATATTGACGAAAAATATATATGTAAAATTAAATGTTTATAATATTATGTAATATCTCACGACTATAAAAATTTGAATTTTTTTTTTTTTTTCAATTTATGGTTATGCAACTGACTTCATAACTCTTAAATATCATATAATAGCATTATGTATTATCTGCTTTGATGATCATTATACCTTTGTACGTGAAGTCACAGTCATTTAACTTTTAATACAATTCAGTTAATACAACTGTGTTACTGAAGGTGGTAAATATTAACCATACATATAGCCATGTTTTATTCAGATAAAGAACAAATGTATGGCTTCTATGATGATTCTGCAGTAACTTCTGGTGGTGTACTTACAGATGTTACTGCTGACTTGAATGCTGGAACAAATTCAGCTGCATTTGGATTTAATGTACTCTGGAAATTTACATTATCCACATGAAATACAGTATTACATATCTTACAATATAATTTAAATATAGATTGATCATATTGTACCTGTTTAGCAAGGTCATCGTGCATTTTTAGATTACTAAGCTGCTGACAAAGTTCAGCACCATTCTCTGGTGCACTTGTAGCAGTAGACCAAGCAATAGAATTTGTATTTCGTTCATGTTGCCTTTCATCTTCCCACATTGCCTTTAAGCATTCCTCTGTTAGCTCTTCCTCCATCAATTGTTGGATCACCTGTGATTTTGAATTATAATCATGTCATTAAAATTTTGTTAAAAAAATGTCATTTAAATATAGTATTCAGCATTGACAATAACAATTACTAAACCTCTTTATCAAATTCTTCTTCATTTTCCATCCATAGGTACTCAGAAAAGTCACTTTCTTCTGTCCCTTGTACATCGATTTCAGAATCAAAGTTATTATCCACATAAGAGATAATCCCTGTTTCATTTCCATAATCGTTCCCAGAACGATTGCTTGGAATCTTCATTTTCATTCCAAATAAGAATTTAACAATGCAGTGAATAGTCTATAAGCAAATTAATTTCTCTTAAATTTTTTAATATATAATATATATCTATCTTCCTTTTTTTCATACATAATCATTATATGTTAATCTTTAATGTTAATAAATGTTAAGTATTATTAACATTATTAGATGATTTTATTATTAGAGAAATGGTTATTAATTCAGTGAAATAAATAATAATTAATAATGGTAAAATGTTTATAAAAAAGAACCTTGATCTCACTTACACGTACGAAGCCTGTGAGCAAAATATTCAAAATATGTTTGCTTCGTTTACACATATGGTAGAATCGACTGGGAAATTACATTTTTTTCGCCGTATAAAATGATTAATCCTTACATTTACTTTGAATTTATCGTTAAATACGTTAACAACTAAAAATTTGGGATTATTGTATTTAGTGCATCGTAGCAATCGGATACGATAAAATATCGCTTGACAGATCTGTTACAAGGCGACCATTTTTAACTGTCTACTTTTAGTATCGACAAAGCAATATTTATTAGTCTTTATTCATAATTACACCGCCTATCTATTGTTCTTACAAGACGAAATGATGCTCCAACAAACGTAAAGTGTAAACATACCTTTTAATGATGTAGTTTTGGACAATTTGTGATAGAAAACACGATTTACGCAGTTCATGGGTAAAATACGTGTCGTGCAACACAAATTAACCCTTGAAGTAATACTGGGATGGTGCTGCCACCACATACAAAAAGAGCAATGCACTTTGTGCTCCAAAAGTTGATAAATATTGATTTCTTTCCGTAATTGATTTTGATCTAAACGCTACGATAATGAGTCATACGTAATCAGTTTTTATATTTTCAACGTATTTCTATCTTTACATTTCTGATAACTTTTAAATGGTCGTCCTGTCCATGATAAATTTAAAAGTGATTGTACAAGCATACGAATAGTTTTATTCTACTTAACAAACAAAATGTTGTCAATTTAATGGCGATATATCATAAATGTTATAAAATTCGGATATTTTATAAATATCATGCACATTCTATATCTATAATTTTTCTTTTTCATGTACATGACGTTATACAACAAAAGGTGAGAGAAAGTATAAACGCTACTATCATACAATGTAATTTTCAGTCAATACACAAACGAAAAAATCACGAAAATTTAAACCTATTGGTTAAATGAAAATAAAAGTGTTACATATTTTGAATAACTAAATTTAGACAAATATTTTCTAAAGAAAAATAGCAAAACAATTATTCAGGCTAATTTTTATTTTTAAGCTATAGTATCTTTATCGTTATTCCTTTCGTTTTTTTTCCAGGAAAGCCAAGGTATCATAGGGAACGTGTACTGAGTCACGTAGTAAGAAAGAATCTACCATGGTCATTGGCATCATTCCTGACTTGACTCGTGTGGTGTATTTACATTGAAGCGCGTACCGTGTGATTGGCCGGGCTGGCTGACGTGCGTGTGTTGACGTTTCATCAAAACAAAGCACGATCGCGCGTCTTGTCCAGCATTTTACTACGGTGTTTCGTTGCGAATGCGTCGTTTCTGCGCTAACTGTCTACGCGAAAAGTGTTGATCGGCTGTTCGTGCGTGTATCACCGGCTTCTGAGTGAACGAGTGCCACAATTGCGATGTCGTCCACCGTGAAATTCACCTCGGACGAGAGTCTCGGCGGTAAGTGGAGTTCCGTTTCCTCGAACTATGCAACCAGCTGTCAGTTGAACGTCGCGGCCATTTCGCGTGCTGCGACTGACGCATAAACAAATGCAAACGCCTGCTTTTTACGTCGTAGGAATATTTGTTTGTAAAACATATGTCGAGCATATTTTACAAGAATATTCGTTTTTCTCAGAATAATGCATGCGTATCATCGAGACGATGTTAACACGAAACGAACGTATATTATTTCGAAGATTTTGGCGCGTCCGCTTATTTGTTTCTAACCTGGCGTACCGGCATTACATTGTAGAATACGTAGTGTCTGCCAGAAAGTATAGCGTGAGTCAATTGTCTAGGGTGTTGCGATTGTTTTATGCAAATTGAACGAAATATGGAGACAATGAATAGTTGCGTTGTTTGAAGATTTCGATTTGTTTTTATGAGTGGCATTTTTAGCTTCCTAGGCAAGATTTACCGTGGCTACCATTGTTGTTTACGTTAATTCGTAATGGAGATCAGCTCTCTACATCATGTCTTTGTGATACTGAATGTAATTCGGTATTATAAGGCAAAAAGTTAAAGATAATCTTGCCGTTTATAATTAACAAATTATTGTTCTGATTATATTATCCAAATTTGATATTTGTACAGTTGTAATTTTTCGAAACCTTTTTTGGAAGGTAGTTTGTCATAACGAAACGATTGATTTTTTATTCCAAATAAAGGGTTACTTTCGGGGAACTTTTTTCCAAGAAGGAACGTATAGAATTCAAGAAGAAAAGAATCCGGACGTGAAATTCTGATTTTAGCCAGATATTTCTTTGGCAGCCTATTAAAAAAAAGGAATTGTTTTGTTACCCTCGGCTGGCTGCTTGCTTTGAAGCGAGTAATACCACTAAAGTCAAACGAACGAACGCAAGGGAAAGGTAGCTTTATTTATGTTTCTCATACGGTCATGAAACTCTTAAAACTCTACTGCAGAATTCTTCTACGCTCGAAACCTAGTTTCAAGGAGGCACGTTCAATATTTAACCCGCCTCTATTCGACATTTATGTATGTCTCTCGAGAATATTGGGAACGATAGAACCCCCGGATAATCCTAAACAAGTTCACTTTGCTTCATAAATAGTCACTTTAAGGAGTTCTTAATGATCGCTTTTACGTCAGTAAGTTGTAAAATTGGATGAATCATCTATTAAACATCTCTTCATGATTAGGGTCTAATGGTGATTATCGATATTGAAGCATTAACCATTGATGAGAGATCTGAGTCGCCCTTTTGTCAATACATATACCTCTTACGCATGACGTGTTTCAAAAGGAACTATCGGCTTTACAAGAAATTTTATCTTTTACTTAGACGACTTATTTTTCAATCGTTATTTCTGTACGACATTTAACACTGCAATTTTTTCCACCTTGAATTTTTTAAACGAAACACTGTATACTTTTTTTAATACAAACAGTCGTTATCTGTTGGCGAACTACCACCTTAATCTAACAAAACAAATTTTAAAACAGTACGGCCAAAATAAAAGATTTTACGATCGCGGTTAAACATCTACTGTGTTTGCTGCGCACATTAGTCTTCCTCGGTATGTGAACGAATTAAACATTCCAATCAGTTAATCATTCGCAAAGTCGAAACTGTTTCATCGGATCAATTGGGTTACTGTCCTATAAACGAAGTCGCTCAAACCGTCTCGAGGGGGTCCTAACGAACGTGGCGGTCGGCCAAGTTCACGAACGTCTTTTATCACTCTCCTGTATAGCATCTTCATCATTCCTTTTAGAAGATCCAAAGAGAGGATCTCTTAGGAATGTACACGTGACGAATCTCTGAAGAGGACGTCGTCGGGTCCATTATTAAGGTGACGCAATATTTGTTACACGGACAACAGGTATCTCCATGCGGATAGCCATAGAATAGTAGCCTGTGTAGCAAATATAGCGGGTGTAGGTTAATTTTAGCATCCACGAGGGCGACCGGACGCGGACCGGACGCTCGATAAGCCACAGAAGTTATCGTTTCCCGACGGAACAGTCCCTTCCACAAACATTGTACTCGTCCAAACCAGACACGTTACCACTTACGTGATCGTCCTCAGGAACCTAGCGAAGTGACGTCAGCGTTCAGAGGCTGACCTGTTAGATTGCTTGACGTTCAGGTAACATCTAGGAACGTGACTCACCTCACGGGGCTTATTATGTTCGTCCCTCGTTTTTACCTGGATGTAAACGTGACTGGAACCATTTTTCACCTTTTTTCATACTTTACGCGGCTATGGAATAGTCTATTTTTTCCGAACTTTCTCGATGTTTTCAAAATTTGAGGTTAAGTGAACTATCTATTTGTAGATTTCTTAGAGAATAAAGTTTCAAGGCATTGGTTAACGAGTTGGATTTATTTATGAACGTTGTGTTTCTATGCAAGAATTTCTGTCAATATCATTCACACGTGGACACTCGGAATAGAAAAGTCATTATTGAGAATGTTTTCATGAACACATCGTATACGGAAGGATTTTAAGAGACTGTTGCACAGCCTCTCTGCACGTCAACCGGTGCGTTTGATTGAAATGACTGGCCGATGAAAAGGGGGACACTGTTCGTGTCTATTTTTAAACGTAACTCTCGTTGGCGGACTCTAATTCAATTCATTAAGGCCACCTACCCGCCGTGATTTCGCGGCACGTGACATTTCCTGGCCATTTTCGTACGTTCATCTCGCCAGTGTCAACGAAATGTCTAACGTTGTTCCGTGTTAAACTTTATTTCTCAATATCATTAAAATATATACCGGGCTAGTTTTCAAATTTTATTCCATTCAAATGTAATTCGTTTAGCTGGTAACGTGTTTAAATTCGTTGCAATTTGTAAGGCTTTTAATACAGGTAGTTTCGGTCTTTAATTAAACGTTCTCTCGATTCATAGAGCTAAAAGACATCGTTTACAGAGAACTATAGGGTTGGGAAAATGAATAAACTTTTCTAGAGTTTCAGTAAACGGTAACTTCCACCGAGTCGAATATTACCGGTGTCGAGCGGGGAGCCTTATGCACTGACCTGCGTAAGCTGCTCGCGCGTCCTTTAATATTTCACGATGATTAAGGCGTACCCGCACGAATCACCGGTACAATCTTCCTTCTTATAGAAATGTCAATTATCCCCTTTTCAGACAATGATGAATTAACACTAGAACAACCTGATCTATCAAAATGACGGACTTCTGATTTCTTACTTTGAATTACAGAAATTATTAAGGTACTTTTGTCCAAGTATATGGTGACTTTTATCGAAATAAAGAAATAGAGAAAAAATATAACTAAATGTAATTTTTTAACGAACTTTCAAACGATTTATATTTCTATACAACGATTTTCTCTCGGTGTTATAAATTGAAAATTGAAGTCATAATTAAACATAAACTTTATTACAAAATTCCATTTGGAGCACAATCTCTGTGGTACGAGTGTGACTTAAAAATGAATTGAACAAAATGCGTATCGATATAAGCAAACATGTTGCACAGCCTCATTGGTTAACAGTAATGACTCGTGCGAATGTATTCTTATCGACTATGCTGATACGTGGCGTTGGCCACGCTCGTAGCTTACAATCATAAATTTTACGACTTGTCGCCGCCGCCCGCAAAAATGCCGGCTGTTTTGTAAACTCCGTCGCTCGTATTACGGCAACACACACGTCCTCTTTCGATCATTCATACGCCATCCACGATTACTACTGTGCGTTTCAATCTCTCTCTGTCTCTCTGCCTTTTACGTTGAATTAAAACCGTCTGTGACATTGCGTAAACGTTGAAATCGCCAACTTTCTGTAAAATCGTTTTGTTAATTTCGTTTTATTCAAATGCTCTCTGACTCTGGCGCTTCGAGCAGGTCTAATGTGTTGTTTAAACTATTACCTGCTACATTTGCATTTCAAATAATTCTTACTTATTCACGAAGGTAACTTACCCGGAACCATTACATCGTTTTCTTTTATTCCTTTGGTAAACTTCATTTCTGATCTCGATATACGAACGGTTCTCTTTTGGTTAAAGGGATTCGTTCGACATCCTCCTTAAGATGAAGTTCGTAGTTTAAATAACTGGATGTCGGTGTGTTCGACAAAGTCGTGTTCGGTTTACAGTTCGGTGCATGCAATTACTATCAATATTCACCGTAATTGAGCGTGTTTGCTCAGGCGTGTTTTGCGCAGGAGAATATCGGGGGGGGGGGGCAAGGAAGTCGTGTTGTTTTTGTCGTTGCATTCTCGCGATGCCATACGCCAAGTCTTTACACGTTGCCGGCCTTGCATATGAGAATTTTGTTTTTCCTTTTCCTCTTGTAATTCGTGGAAATTTTATTTAACTCTTTCTGTACTGTCACGCTTAATAAAGAATCTAAAATATTCGAGGAATCTGAAAGATGGCTCTTGGAATGAACCTCGAATAATCTCTCTTTCTCGATAATTGCTATCAAGAGCTGGAGAAAAAATAAGCTAATCTTATTCTTCAATGGTAGAACGACGTTTTTTCTTTCTCTTCTTCTTTTTCACCAAGTTGACGGGTTTCTCGAATAGATGATACCTAAGAAAATTCGACAGTTCGATTAAGTGATACAATCTGCGCATATTTATCCGGACAAAATCACGGGAAAATATGTATCGACAATTTTCTATTCTCTCTAGATCGATTCTGTTTTTGAAACACGATTTAAACACCATTTTTTTTAATTTTCTTATTTTTGCCACGGAAATTTGATTGTACGTTTGTCTCTACTTTTTGCAACGTCTGAAGGTTGGCGTAAGTAGAAAAGAGAAATGAAATTCGCGGTGTATCGGGCTTTCGACGTTCTTTAGTTACTGTTATATTATTTACCATTGGCGATGGCTTTCGGTTATTTACGTTGAGTTCATACTTGCACGCTTATGTGTGCCACGGCTTATCGCGTGCCACACGGCTGGCATATAGTTAATAAAACAGAGTAGTAAATGATGTCATTGGATGACCGGCGGTGCTGTTGCTCCCTCTTGCAATGATAATTAAATTCACCGTCTAAAAACCGTGTCGACAAATCCATTTACCACTCGTAAATTGCTTCATTTCCATGTTTTATCGAAAAATAAATATTCGATCGAGAATTGCTATGCGTCATGTATTATTGCACAATAATTGAAGAAATCTTAAGTATACACTTATTTAATTACATCATGTAGAGTTTCTAAAGCAGCGATTGTTTTTTAGAAATTTTTAAAATTTTCTAGATTTATCAATAATTTTACAATTACTGACATTCTACAGTACACTAAATATATTTTTTCGTCGATCTGGAAAAAGATAAATATACATTTTTAATTGATTTGCAAAAAAGAAAAAGAAAAAAACGATATTCTTTTCGTTTGCTTTTTTAATTTCTTTAATTTGTATTAAAAAAATCTTGGACGCACCTGTCGACCTCTCGCGGCGTACCAGTGTACAAAATGTAAAAATAATCGTGTAGTATATTAGGTCGTTGAACTTCTACGGTGCAATTAGTCGAATTAGATGCACCAGAAAAGAAATCGTCTTCTCATGGGTGTGATGATTCATACAAATCAGATAATGCTGCAATTTCGAGAGCATCAGAATTACAGAACCTCCCATAAAGGTGCAATTGCGATGATGACAGCAACAATGATCGAAACGCAAGTAGAAACGAAGATGTGCCAACAGTCACGTACTCCGTATTGTGAAACTTCGTAAAATGTCCGTTATTTCAACTCGAATACTGATCATCGATAAAAATCGTTTAACATATATCTCGATACCTCGATTTATTTGATCGATACGTGTTTCGCTATAATTGGCTACCACTGGCAAGACGAGATCGCATGTTATCCAAGAGTACACACGATTCTTGTAATTGGCTTAATTGGTACGTAGAAGGAAATGCGGATATCGAAGTGAATCTTCAATGATTTTTTTGAATCTCGATTAGACACGACATCGTGATGTTGATTGTAATAATAGACATATATATTCGAAAGAAGGTTAATGGAAAAAGAGGACAGAAGTGTGTTTGACATTATTCTCGGAGGCTGTGTGTAATTGAACAATCGCGTAATGAGAACTGTTCTCTGTCTGGTTCTCTAATTTCTTACCACTTGTGCGTATAATTTCAAATGCACGAATCCGCGAAATAAATGTAAGTTTTACTTTTGTGAAAGCTATGATTCTTCAAGCAAAAAATGCTTATCTAGCATTGATTCGATGATTCGATATTTTTTCGAGCTGAAGTGTCTAGAAAATGATGATGATAGAGAATTGGGACGTAGCGTATCACATTGGTATTTTTCTCTTTTTTTTCTAAAGACATCGATTAAGAGCACAGTGTTGATAATGATTCACCAGTCGCTAGATACCACGCGTACGTTCGTCACGAATCTTTCGCGCACATGTCACAACCTCGTGTAGCTTATCATATTGTCAGGGGAAAAAAAACTGACACTTGATTAGGAATTGAAAAAGAAGTTCGAGAACTAATGGTGTGAAATTTGCGTATAAAATTCATTATATTTATCTGTTGGTAGATATTGTCGTACAATTAGGTTAGGTTGAACAGAGGGCAGTGCGTAAGTAGAAAAAAAAAAATGGTGTTAACGACATTCGCGATAATAATAATCAAAATTCGTATTATATTTAGACGAACTGTTTCACCTTCGTAGATTTCAACGAAAAAAATACGAATTTAGGTTTTCGTTGAAAACAGACGCGTACGATCTTGACAAGTTTTGCTTTGCAAGAAAACATTCCACAGTTTTTCCAAGCACACACAACGCACGTGATTTTCACACCTTTAACTTCTATTTACGGAAATGAACTCTATTTACCGATGCATTTGCAAACAATAAGATTGTTTCAGGAGACACTATTGACGCGGTAGATTTCGCGAACTATTAGCTTCCTTCGGAAGACAGCGTAAGATTCTTCACGCTATCTTGCGGTTTGCAGGCGAATTGTGTGACGCAACGCGCTACACGATCGCTACGTCAGAGCTAACGGACCTTGGCCGTGAACTTTCTTGATAATCAAGTTGATGATTGCTCGATAATGCCCCTGGTTGATCGCGTTTTACGCTTCTATCGATGGTAGAGTAGGAACTCTCACGTGCTTTCCTTTCCCTCATCTTTTCCTTTTGCGTACACGATTTCTGCTTAACCTTGTAAGCGTCGCGAATTGTAAATGCGCCAGTGCGTTGTGTCGCCGTAAACTACAAAATCATTACCTAGCGTCGTAATCTTATGTAACTTTGATGTATGTATGTTCAAAAACCATATTAAACGATAAATAAAAGAAGTAAAATATATTTTTTTTACTAAAAAGTAAAAGAAAACTTATTATTTTTAACGAATAGAATATATCACGAGAACGTGTGTGCTGTTTTCTATAACTAACGAGAGAAATTGCCTGAAACGTTTGAAGCAAACGTCGTTAATGGAAATCAATACAGAAACAGGCTATGTAATGGCCAGGAATGTTTTTACTTAATTTTAAGTACTCTTTACACAAGTTTCTCTATGCACTTAACGACTTTCCTAGCAGAAAGCTTTTTCTACCTGTCTTTTGTGACTCATACAATAACCTTCCGTATTTTATTTGATGTGTTTACAGAGTCTTGGGTGGAGCTAAATCCTGTACCCGATAGGATAACTCCGTTACCGTTCAGTAGCGGCGGTGAAGAGTACCTGCGACTCCTTAGAGAAGCTCAAAGGGATTCTCTTCCCTCATCTGCCAGACATTCTCTAGCGTCTTCACATCGCGGTACACCTAGAGACAGGTAAAAATCATTTCCTCTAAAACTTCATCACTGTGTACAAACATTTTGTTCATTTAAGTCTTCTTAGTCTTCCATATGATCCTACGATATCTAATCTAATCAACCAAATGCTACCAGGCAAACGTGTATAAATCCAAGTAAATTCGCGGGATAAAAATTGATTTAATAAACCATTGCTACTGGAAAAAAAACGGTGGTAATATACTATTAAAAATCGTTCCTTGGAAAAATGAATCCAGCTTGGTTACACGTGCGACTTCTCAAGAAAGGTCATTAGAAGAAGTCTGGTTTGGCTTCCTTCTTCTCGAGTACCGGCGAAGAAAGAACCGAAGAAGGAGAGAAAAGAAAGAAGAATAATAAGTGATAGCATGAGTCAGATGCCGGTTCGGCAGAGAGAGGATGAGGGAGGAATCTTTTTCTGGCCGGTTTCTTTGTAAACGTAGGCGTTGCTACGTCTCAAGGACCGGCGGATGAAAGAGGAAGAGCAAACAACGCCGACATTCTCATTTGTGTCTCTGATCCCTTGTATATATGTACCAGTGACTTTTTTATGAATTCTTTTTTTTTTTTTTGGTCTCGAACGGTGTAGCTAACGTTTGAGATAGTTAGAGAGAGAAATTTCAAAGTATTTTCTAAACGATTCAACTGAGCTTTGCAGGTTACACTCATGATTTCTAAGCGGCAGCTCTTTATTCGAAAGTCTTATGATTGGCGCTCGAGATTGCGACAAACGACGCAGTTCTTTCACCCAATCTTCCAAACAAATTTTCTGATAACGCTTTCCTCCAAAGCTATATCATGCTTTAACAAAGTGTCGACGTAGTTAGATAACTCCGAAATACGTCATCTTGCTTCTGTGTATCTTCCGCGATCGATCCATGCTGTAGATAGAAAAGTGTAACGAACTCACGATGCATTCGATTTATCTCGTTTATTTATTTCAGCGAAATACAATACTTGTTTAATGGTAGAGATAAACTCTATCGTAGAATAAAACATACAAAAGTTAGTTACCCTTGATGGACATTTGTTTTATTCTTTTTGATAATCAAGAATTATTTCATATCTTATCGAAAGTGAAGAATTGCTACTTGATTGCTCCCTTTTACTATTTGCGACGTTCGATCCGCGCGATCTTGTCGTGCAGATGTTCGATGAGGTCATCCATTATCATTCTCAGTTCTATGTAAAACATAGAAAAATGTATCGTACGATGCGACGACTGAGGTCGCCTGATACAAAATGTGTCTTCTACACTGTGGTTCACATTGCAAGTCATCGATGAACAAATTCAATGTAAACATACGAGGAGGGATGCAAGTCTTTTATCAGTTAATCATTTTCATTTGATTGGAAACGTGAAAATCTATGTGCAAAATTGGTGAAATCTTGTGTTGCAGCCCAAAGAGCCCACCGAACAGCCCCAATACTGAGCTAGCAACCGAAGACGAGCTCAAGGGAGTATATATAAATTACTGCTGCAATAAGGTCAGTTTCATAATCGATTTCTAATGCACCGTATACTTGTGTCACGACTTGTCTACCACTACAAAGAATATCCGTTGCGTTTCTTCCAAGTATTATCTGTGGTCCTTACAAGGAAGACTATTGTCATAGTGAAACTGATGCGTCTGATCGTTACAAAGTATCCATTTATATGCGGGATTTTATTATAAGGAGATTCTTTGTATTCTCCTACCATTTGTGAAAATCTTCATTTAGTTGTGCAATCGGAAATTTTAACAAAAATCCATATTGTTTCATTCATCTTTATGCTGCCCTAATTTCCTTGCAACGCATGCCCAAAGCAAGAAGAAGCACTTCAATGTGTCCGTATGCAACTGGTTTTATCGAACGAAACTGTCAGCAGTTATACTTTTCATACAAGGTTCGCAGATCACTGACTCTTCTGGTGCCCCTTTCTAACGCGTATTATAGGTCATAGAACATGTGGTCTGTTTGAAGTTGCAAGCCTAATCGTGAGATGCTATATACAGGGAAAACACAGATTTAATTTGCGGTCATACTCGAGAGTATCTATACGATATGAAAAGCAATAATCCCTATTCAGATCAACTGATAACGGACTATCAGGATCCGTTGTTTATTCATGGTTTACCGTAAATTATCTGTCTCGGTGGGGAGTCTAGAAGCGAACCTAGCAAGCGCCTTTATCTTTCTGGTCTTTTTCCTTGTAAACAACTCGTTGAGAAAAATATCAATTCACCAATAGGTACACACATCGATTCGTCCTCGATCTTACACTTATCGAACAGCTACGTAACATTTGTTGTCGATTGATCGTCAAAAAAAAAGATGTGGACAAAAATAGCAACAAAGACAATCGGAGAGGAGAGAATGAATAAAAGTCGATATCGAGCGTGTGGCGGCGCGACAACCGAGGATTTTCCATGAGTCAGTTGCTCAACCGCATGTTCACCGACGTTTTGCACTGGAAGAGACTCGGACTCTCTTTGTCCCACGACAAGACGTGCCTTTGTGAAGGCCTCTTCGAAAGTCGAGTCTTCTGTCTTCTTTGAGAATCTTCGCCGATTCTCGCTTCAACCGCCGTAGATAACATATTAAAAATAGAGTATAATCTTGAGGAGCTGCGGTTCTTCTGTTTATACACGGTGCTATCTTCAATGCGACATTTAATTTTTCTTTTTAATCCATTCTCTACTTGTGTGTATTCTTTTCTATTGAGAGAACGAACAGTTGAGTCATTATTTCTTTTGTTTATTTCGAACGATTACATAGCACGATAAATAGAATAAATAGTTGTTTAACGGGTAATGCGAATGAACGGCCTTGATATTCATGTTGCTCAAAAAGCGGGGAGAAGCTTCTGCGTCGAAGAAAACAACAGAGCCTGATATGCGCTGCGCATTAACTGCGATAGGACGCCTGCGTTTGCGCTTCGCTTCGCCGATAGTAATCCATTTACCAACCAAGGATACCGGACTTTAGTGGTCTGGACTGGTACAGTTTCGTAGTTTTGCAACCATCTATAGTCGCGTGGAACCTTGACAAACTTTTCAAAGCATCACAGTCGATATAGAGAAAGTATATCAGTAGGTAAAGTAATGTGATGTAGGATATGTTTAAAATAACTTATTTTTTTATTACATCTTATTATATTTATTTTATTTAACCTGTAGATAACTTTTCTTTCTTTCTGTACGATCGTTACAAGTTTAATCTAACCTAACCTATAATCCTTTTCCCATGCTTTACCTACGCGCATTCCACGGAACAGTGCGAACGCGTTCAGTTGGAATGAGCACAACGGCTTCATCCAAGAAACAAGAGCAGTATCGTGCACGAAGTATCCAATATCCCAACTCCCTTTACTTCTTCACGATAACTTAGCCGCGAAGCGAACCCGTTCGACGAGTGTGTGATACACACCGCGGGAGGACCGGATTTTGCGCGAGTGTTGTTAAGCGTAAACGTAGAGAGCGGCGATTCGTTGGTCGGCGATCGCGTGATCCGTACGCCGTAACGGGGAAACGCACGCGTAACGAAGGCAAGAACACAAACGCAGGTGAACGATCTAGCATGTATACACTGGTGTGGTATACCTGTGTGTCAGTTCCCCGCCAGTAAACACGTTCGAGAGATCTTTATTGCGATTCAATTACGCGCCATTTTGAAAAGTGTAATGCGCATGACACTGGCGGGTTCAAAAAGTATCTATAAAGTATACAGTTATAGAGGTTGTAGGTTAGGCACCTTTTGAATGTTTCAATACTGTACAGTTGTTGCAAAAATGACATACATTTGATTTTTTGGAAAATCATTACGTAGAAGGCATTGTATTCCTGGTTGGAAAGTATGCGCCAAATGTTACGCGGAAATATAGCGTGAGAAGGAGAACGCGCGATAAAAATTTCTCTTCTGTTTGTTACGCGAGCGATTTCATACGGATAACAACGACGCGTTCCACTAGCAACCAGTTATTCGAAAAGGAAATTGCATTTCCCAGAATTGTTGGTGTAGTAATTTTTGAAGTGAAGTCCTCGAACGTGTGCATCTCATTCGAAGAAATTTAATAAGTGGTATATAACTGAGATGTCTGTACGTGGCTGACGTTAGACGGCAGTGTCACT